TAGAGCTTGTTACACCTCACGGGCAAAGATAAGCAAATTTCCATGTTTTTTGCATCAGCAAAAAGCTCTGCTCTAAGTAAGATATGTCTCCGTTTGAAGCTTTGACCCACTGAATTATAATACTTTGGATCATGTTAACTTTTTCAAGTGGCCTAACTAACACTGGAAATCTACATTGAGTACTTGTAGTTAAAGAAATCTAGTAAGAATCTTACAGAGGTGTAATCATTAGCAAGCTTACGCCTGTCAAAGTTTCTGTTCTTCGAAATGAAGTTCATCGACACTTGCTTGAAGGAAATCAAAAACAGCATTGAATTTGGGCCATCCAGAGAATAGCCATAATTGAGTACACCAGACCACTGCGTCAATGTTTAATTAGTTATTTAACTATACATCTTCTCTTATTAAATTATGGTTCTTCAGATTACTAGAATTTTGTAAAAAGGTGCGTCGTTGGCTTCAAAAAGGCAAATAAATCCTGCTTTAATAACCACAAAGAAGGAGAAGTCATATTAAAGGTCGAAAAAAGCTAAACTTCCTGCGCTGCTTGCCTCCTCACCTTGTCACTAATTGTGTTTAGCAGCACTCTGAATATACAGATTCGGCTAATTATAAATTTGATCGGGAATGGAGATGGCAAGTCTTATTTTACAGCAAAGAAAAAAGGCGGAGGGAGGGGAAGGCGCAGATAGGGGACAGGCGTATGTCATAAGTCATTTTTCTCGTCCCCGGTGATTATCCGAAATTGCTGCAGATTGAAAGAAAAAGGTCAACTTAATTTATATCAGTTAGAAAGGCGAGAATTAGTAGGTCATGCGCAGACAAAAGATAATAAACAAAAAAACTGAGGACTTTTGTAACCTCTTTTTATTATTGCAGTTGCTCATTATATCAAATCCTATGGATCCATGCAATATATAGTACCGTTGTCCAAACATTTAGATAGAAATATTTCCTACCACAACTGGGTACGGCAGATCGAAAAAGACGTGCTCGGCAAGGTTTCATATAAAGTCGCTCCAGATAATCTCCAGGTTGGTGATGATGTTCTTACTTTCATACGTCGCCCTTCCTTGAGTAGTCCGTGGGAATAATTTTATAAACCACACTCAAACTTTCCCGTCCTCTATTCAGTTTTTTCAGACAGATGTTCAGTTTATATTCCATAGCGTCGACCATGTAACAATCAACGAAAAGGAACAAGTGATGGCCATTTCTGGGCGATATTGTATGGTAAAACTAATTAAAAGATTTCTTTGAAGTAGATGCCCAGCAAGTGGTTCATTTGTGAGTTTCAGATCTGGCGCGATCCTCATATCACATGGGATCCTGCAAAGTACAATAATCTTGACACATTGCATGTTGGATCCTATGATGTCTGGACTCCTAGAATTATCGTTTTAAATGGGTGCTTAGATTGATTTTAAAAGAACGACCTATTTGAATTCTTAACTTCTTCACATAGATCAATACAAATAGTGCTACTGTGAAGCTTTAACATTCCTTATAACTTAGAATTAAAAAATTTCCTAACTATAGAACCTTCAGGATTTCTGGAGTGTACAGCCATTTGGATGCACCCGTAACAAGAGTCAAATTATTTGTGCCTCCTTTCCGAGCTAACGTATGTTTTATATACTCTCAGTATTCTTCTACGACATATTTTGTTCCAGGAACCAGCTTTTGTAATCAGCTGCCCAAGATATACTGGTCGAGTAGGATGCTCTTTGGGTAAGAGGAAAGAGTTTTGGTAGAAAAACTTTAAATTAGCAGATATGCCCAAAAATGATAGAGTATCTTGATTAAGCTTTCAAGTCCAATAAAGATGCAATTATGCTGCTGAAAAATCCTAGATAAAGCCTATGCGAAACCGCTCCTAATAGTAAAAAATTTAATTTACTATTGAATCATACGTTGATCAAATGTAGAATTCCATAGCAGAAGAGTTAGAATAGAAGCGATTTTGTCATCAGAGAGCATTGCGTGCTTGGACTAAACTAATGTCACGCGGTGGATAGTTCCATAAAGAAATGCAAGTAATTATAAAAGAATGCTCATGTCCAAACTCTTCGTCTCCCCTTTTCCACTTAGTACATCTTCTATCCAGAGGGAGGAATAATCACATTTGCACAGTGAATCGCAGGGAACATGAAAAAAATAGCTAGAGATTTG